GACAACATGATGTAATGCACTTTATGTTTAGTATATATTTAGTATATTCCGAACAGCCTCATGGGGACTCTTATACAGAACTGTATTGCTGAAACATGTTATTAACCTGACTCATGATAAAATAATTCCAAGCATTTCTCTATTCAGTCAGTAATAACCATCGAATTGTCAGTACCTTTGGTACCATCATAAATTAATTTTCACAAAAAAGCACAGAAAATACACTCTGAGGCACCCTTTCAATAGTAATAGAAAAGAGCAGAAATACAAGCATGAAGACATTGTGCTTATACGCTCATATTCAGTTTTCACAAAATGCCAGGCAATTTAAACTCTTGAGAATGGTTTGCAAGTACCACTTTTGGAATTTCCAAGAAACATCCGTGGAAAAAAGGAACAGCAAAACACAAGAATGTGACCACAACAGCCATCTACAACAGTACTGGTAAACAGAGTGGCTGTTCAGTCGCTATTTTACCAAGAGTAGACAACACAGTAAGAGTGGGAGAGTCAGGTTCAACTGCAGTTCACATGTATTCTGCTTTTTTCACGACACCTCTGCCATTGCTCAACTGAATTCTTCTGGAATACCAATGGCTCTGCTATTTTTTACTTAATGGGCAGTGAGTTCAGGTAGCAGCACTCTACAAAGAGTTTTGAAGAGTGATTCACATTATGTTGTCATCTCAAATATTTTCTGTTGTGTTTCTGCATTTATTTAAGACAGGTTAACACTATCACCTCCCCCAGTATTTATGTGTGACTTGCTTAATCAGAATGAAGATGAGAAATGGACATTATACTGAAAACAGTGCTGACAGGTAGTATCTGCACTCAGATGTGCATTCCAATGTGCACATCTAACCAAGGACTACAGTTTCTGATCCAGTAAGCCTTTGTGTGTGTACTTCTCCTTCAGCAGAATGGAGGCTTATACAGGGCTCTGGCATGTCTTTTTGTTTTCTAATATCTGGGTTTTAAGGGTTTTGGGATAAGGCAGGGTGAAGATCAAGATTGAGTGCACTGTGGCTTTGTGACCTGCAAGAAATAAATCCACTAAGCGAAGTCTGTTGCCTTTTTAAAAAAAAATCTTTTAGACACTAAATTATACATCTTAGAGAAGAGGCAAAAAGTGTAGTGGTAATGGATTCAGTTCCTTAAGTGGAAATTCTAGGAGTGTCAATGACAGCAATGGTAATTACTGCAAGTATTATAAATTACATATTTGATGGTGCTGTTTCATTAACAAAATATCTGCATCATCAGACACAAAAGGTATAACATCACAAAAACTGGGCAAACCCAACAGCATGCATGACTCAGTGAAATGACAGATACAGCAGAATGTAGTATCTATTCGTAACTAGCTTGTGCTGATAAAGATATGTCTCAACACTACGTCAAAAACTGTGGGAGACAAGGGAACAAGCTAGCAAATAAAACTGAAGAAAACTGATGCGTGCAAGTTTATGGTAACAGAAAGAAGTGGGAGCAACCATCTTTTAATGTAAGAACTGACAGATTATTGCACAAGTTCACTATGGTCCATCAATCTAGAAGAGGAACATTCATGTCTTTGTTCACGTGGAAATGAAAGACAGCTTTAGGTAGAAAGCTGAGGTCTGGTCAAAGGATGCACAAGAAAGTTGGATCATGATTCAAGGCAGCCAATTTCTTAACCTTGTTGATAGATATAGTCACAACCAAAAAGGCCATCTTAAAAGAAAGGAGCTGAAGGTCACATATGGCTGTAGACAAGAGAGGAAGCCTTCAAATCTCATAGTCTCTGTCCAACAACATCTGGAATGCCACAGGTTTCCTGTTCCTGCTGCAGGTATGAAGCGTTTGCCCATGCAGGAGGACAAAATGAATGGAAGACACAGGTTCAACAGAATCTTCCTGAGAAGGTTAGCGTGTGGATGAAAAAATATTTTTGTTTAGTCGTTTAGTCGTGTCCGACTCTTCGTGACCCCATGGACCAGAGCATGCCAGGCACTCCTGTCTTCCACTGCCTCCCGCAGTTTGGTCAGACTCATGTTTGTAGCTTCGAGAACACTGTCCAACCATCTTGTCCTCTGTCGTCCCCTTCTCCTTGTGCCTTCAATCTTTCCCAACATCAGGGTCTTTTCCAGGTCTTCTCTTCTCATGAGGTGGCCAAAGTATTGGAGCCTCAGCTTCACGATCTGTCCTTCCAGTGACCACTCAGGGCTGATTTCCTTAAGAATGGATGCGTTTGATCTTCTTGCAGTCCATGGGACTCTCAAGAGTCTCCTCCAGCACCATAATTCAAAAGCATCAATTCTTCGGCGATCAGCCTTCTTTATGGTCCAGCTCTCACTTCCATACATCACTACTGGGAAAACCATGGCTTTAACTATACGAACCTTTGTTGGCAAGGTGATAGAATCATAGAACAGAATCATAGAATCATAGAGTTGGAAGAGACCACAAGGGCCATCGAGTCCAACCCACTGCCAAGCAGGAAACACCATCAGAGCACTCCTGACATATGGTTGTCAAGCCTCTGCTTAAAGACCTCCAAAGAAGGAGACTCCACCACACTCCTTGGCAGCAAATTCCACTGTCGAACAGCTCTTACTGTCAGGAAGTTCTTCCTAATGTTTAGGTGGAATCTTCTTTCTTGTAGTTTGGATCCATTGCTCCGTGTCCGCTTCTCTGGAGCAGCAGAAAACAACCTTTCTCCCTCCTCTATGTGACATCCTTTTATATATTTGAACATGGCTATCATATCACCCCTTAACCTCCTCTTCTCCAGGCTAAACATGCCCAGCTCCCTTAGCCGTTCCTCATAAGGCATCGTTTCCAGGCCTTTGACCATTTTGGTTGCCCTCCTCTGGACACGTTCCAGTTTGTCAGTGTCCTTCTTGAACTGTGGTGCCCAGAACTGGACACAGTACTCCAGGTGACTCCACAGTAGTCCACAGTACACCAGAGCAGAATACAGTGGCACTATTACTTCCCTTGATCTAGATGCTATACTCCTATTGATGCAGCCCAGAATTGCATTGGCTTTTTTAGCTGCCGCGTCACACTGTTGGCTCATGTCAAGTTTGTGGTCAACCAAGACTCCTAGATCCTTTTCACATGTACTGCTCTCAAGCCAGGTGTCACCCATCTTGTCTCTGCTTTTTAAGATACCGTCTAGGTTTGCCATCGCCTTTCTCCCAAGGAGCAGGCGTCTTTTAATTTTGTGACTGCTGTCACCATCTGCAGTGATCATGGAGCCCATGGTAAAATTTCTCACTGCCTCCATTTCTTCCCCTTCTATTTGCCAGGAGGTGATGGGACCAGTGGCCAAGATCTTCGTTTTTTTGATGTTGAGCTTCAGACCATATTTTGCGCTCTGCTCTTTCACCCTCATTAAAAGGTTCTTTAATTCTTCTTCACTTTCTGCCATCAAGGTTGTGACATCTGCATATCTGAGGTTGTTGATATTTCTTCCGGCGATCTTAATTCCGGCTTGGGATTCATCCAGCCCAGCCTTTCGCATGATGAATTCTGCATATAAGTTAAATAAGCAGGGAGACAATATACAGCCTTGCCGTACTCCTTTCCCTATTTTGAACCAATCAGTTGTTTCATTTCCAGTTCTAACTGTAGCTTCTTGTCCATATACAATACCCTTAAATCTGTGAATTATATGTAGAGACTGACATGGGATTGAGCATAAGTGAGAAAGGAAGATAGCCATTCTGGTTTGAAAGACAATACATGTTCCAAGATCTGGAATGTCAGACAACACACAGAGCCAAATTCTTTATAGAAACAAGGGAATAGAATCAAGTCTACAAAGATGCATAGGAGTGTCTAGTTATCAATGCACATGAAGCAGATCTGGGGACACCTTCAAAGTTGATGTATTTTCTATACTCAAAAGCTGAGGGATCAGATATTGTGATGTAGGACTCTATCCCAGTTCTAGAAGCACTGGTCCTGCACTGTGGCAATTGAGAGGAAGTTCCCTTGAGAGAGTTAAGAGGATACTGTGGTCAAAGGTAGATGCACTATCTCAACCACTCCACTATAGGCACCTGGGCCATAAAGAAAAATGTTTTTTAATCACATGCATTTGAAATAAACAAATCAGAAGGATAAAGGCTTAGCTAATAGAAAGGCAAGGAAAATAAAGCTCCAAAGGCACGTAGAGACAGGAATTTTTTTGAGAGATACAATTCTCAATGCATTTAGAAGAATGTAGCAATCCTACCCATCAGAACATGGGTGGAACAATTTCCTGTTGCCCTTAGAAGGGAGGGGCAGGGCCAGGAGTAAAGACTCCCTAGCTGAAGCTCTTGAAGGTTTTGGAAATGGCTCTGCCCAAGTGCAGAACACAACTGTAGGACCTCAGAGACCAAAAGAAGAAAAACACTGAATCTTTGCAAACAATAAAAAGCTCTCAAGATAAACTAGCAAAACACAATTGTAAAAAAGTATCACCCTGCCTATCCGATTTGACTTTCTCATATAGCAAACATAAGGAATACATTTTATTCAATCTTGAAGTGACTCATTATCATCCATAGAAAATTCACAAGTGTTAAATTAGCCACAGGAGGGCTCCACTAACATTCCCTGTCCCTGGATCAAAAGAAACATATGGAGACGTGCAAAAGAGAATTCACAAAATTATTCAAACACAAGGTCTATAAATGTCAAACAAGTATGTTTCTCATTTCAGATGAAAACCTATGAGCATGCAAAATTTCATAAATAACTGCCTTAATGTACTTGGTTTATCAAAAAATATTAGTAACTACGAAGCAAATGTGTATGTTCTGACAATCTTATTAAATTATTTCCCCTCATATATTGACAATATATTTCTAGGGGATTTTGGTAAACAGTGCTTCAAATTGTTTTGACATGGCTTCTTACCTGGTACTGTCCAATAAACATAAATTGTTATATTCAGACAAACTTAGATTTGGAAGAGGGAAAACCCTATGACATGAATATCTGTTTTTCTCCATGCTTATTCTTCTTTGTTCCTTGGGAGTTCATTAGTTCCTGCTGGTTGTTCACCACCTGAAATCATAATCATCTGTTTGTGACATCACAATTAGTTACTGTGAAAATGATTAGTGTGTCACAAACAGATGATTATGATTTCAGATGGTGAACAAACAGCAGGAGCAGATGGACTCCTAAGGAACAAAGTTCCTGATTTCATGCAAAAGTCCAAAGTAATAAATGAGTTAGGGAAGAAAAACAAGTGTTTTCAAATAAAAGGTTTTCCATGGTTTTGGATTTTCACATGAACATTTCAGATGTAGACTGAATTTAATCCTGATGTATATTAAGAAGAACTTGTTTAAACCATGATTCTGATTAACTATGTTCTAATGTTGTTTTCAATTTTAAGTTCTATCTGATGTACTTTTAGAAGTCACATGACCTTGAAGAAAGATTATTTTGAACACTGATTGTGATATAACCAGAGCTAAACTGTTTTATTCTGGTTTTTTTGTTTTTCTTTTTTTGAATGGGCAGCCATGACTATTGACCCTAAAGTTGCAATCCTAACCCCACTCACCTAGGCATAAAACCATTCAACTCAACAGAACTCAGTTCTGTTTAGACATTACCAAACATTCAAAAAGGAGAGAAATAGTAATCATGGGGTACTTCAACTTCCCTGATATCTGTTGGGATTCAAACTCTGCCAAGAGTGTAAGGTCTGACAAATTCCTCCATTGCATTGCTGACAATTTCATTTCCCAGAAGATGGAAGAACCAACAAGGGGGTCATCTATCTTGGACCTGGTCCTCACCAACAGGGAGGAATTGATTGATGGAGTGGAAGTGCTCGGAAACTTGGGAGGAAGTGATCATGTTCTCCTGGGTTTCAGGATACAGAGGCAAGGGAAAACTGAGTGTAGTCAGAGGAGGGCAACCAAGACAAACAAGGGTCTGGAAACTAAGCCTTATGAGGAACGCCTGAAGGAGCTGGGTATGTTTAGCCTGGAAAAGAGAAGTCTGAGAGCAGATATGATAGCCATCTTCAAATATCTTAAGGGTTGTCACATGGAGGAGGGAGCATGTTTGTTTTCTCCTGCTCTAGAGGATAGGACTTGAACCAATGGCAGTTGCAAGAAAGGAGATTCCAACTAAACATTCGGAAAAACTTTCTGACAGTAAGAGCTGTTCAGCAGTTGAGCAGACTCTCACGAGAAGTGGTGGACTCTCCTTCCTCGGAGGTTTTTAAACAGATGGATGGCCATCTGTCATGGATACTTCAGCTGAGATTCCTGCATTGCAGGGGGTTGGACTAGATGACCCTTGGGATCCCTTCCAACTCTATAATTCTATATTCAGGTAGGTAGCCGTGTTGGTCTGATGCAGTCGAAATATATAAAAAGTGTCCAGTAGTGCACCTTAGAGACCAACTAAGTTTGTTCTTGGTATAAACTTTTGTGTATCTGAAGAAGTGTGCATGCACACAAAAGCTTATACCAAGAACAAACTTAGTTGGTCTCTAAGGTGCTACTGGACTATCTATCTATCTACCTATCTATCTATGAGAAAATATGAGAGAGAGATTCTATGTTCAGGATTGCACTGTAAATTATCAAGTGATTTTTTTATTTAAAAAGTTCCCTGTCAGTACTGGAAGGTTAACTAGGACTTCCATGTTATAAAGAGTCTTTGAAGATCTATACAGCATGGAAACACTGCTTTAGCAAAAACACATTTTAAACATTAGAAAAGCCAGTAGTTACCTTTCCAAATTAGCTTTCAGTTTGGAAATGGGAAGGTTTCATTTCCATGGATGACTGATACTTCTTGCAGATGGGTTTTACTCTACTGAAGCTCTCGCAATACAAAACATGTATAATTCTAACTGACCTACCAAAACAGGTTATTGGAACGAGAGATCCTTAAAAGATATTCTGAGGACCATTTTATCTTCCTACATATTATACTACTATAGCAATTTCTTTGAGAGTCAACTGTTTGGAAGCTTAACCTGTTTTATTTTTTGTGATAAGGGCACAAGAGCAGGGCCAGGGGGGGAAACGGTGTCAGAGTTGGAGGCACTGAACCTGGACTCACTTCAGCTGGAAATTTCATGTAAAACTTCTGCAAGAATGCAGTAGGGGACTGACAGGTACAAGCCCACAGTTCCAAGCTTCTCTTATTGTGACAGACTGGTTGTTCCAGCCAGTCTAAACTCTGTGGTTAGACCAACACCCAAGAAGAGTGTCATGTATGTTTGTTTTTTATAAATGCCATAAGTGTTTTTGTTTGGATTGACTAAAAGCTAGGGATCCTAAAAGCTGCAGATTCAGACACACACACACTCAGGGTGTCTTTATTATCAGCATAGAATGCCTAAAAGGATACAGATCCTAGGTTCCCTGAGAGCAGGTCTACATAGTATGAGGCAAACAAGGGATTCCCAACTTGTGTTTGATTCATAACACTAAGGTGGACCTGTGAGGATATGTATGAGTAGATGACAGGGGGTGCTTAATCCTCCCTTTCTTCAGCACACACAATTCCTCCCTTTTGGCCACGTTTTGTTACAATTCTGATTCCAAGACCAAAAATAATGCCAGTTGGTAAGAAAAATTACTTGGGGTGTGTGTGTGAGGGAGTAGTTGCCAAGGAGAATCAGCGCTTAGGGGCAGGTGGGTGTGGGTGGGTGGGTGTGTCAACCACCCCCCTATTTCCTACCAATCCACCCTTGAAAATGCCCCCTTCACGTTCATTATTTGGTAAATACACTCGTTCATGAGAGACACCACTGTTTTCCTCTGAGGTAGTATGTAGTTCCACCCTGGGCATCCATCTTTTCTTTGGCCAACAGATACATTCTATGGCATAGTCATTTTTTTTCTTGGTTCTTTGCAGAAAAGGCCTTCTTGGAGTTCTGGCACCAATCACAACACTCAATACCCAACAGTCACCCTAGATATTGCAATTGGCTTTTGTGGGGTTAAATCTATCTAACCACCCATCTCCTATATTTCAACAAAATTGTGCTTTGACAAGTGTTCTGATCTATAATGATGAAAAATATACAGTGCTTTTAAAATATTGTTAGATGTTATATAAAGATATTAATTATTTTTATTTATTTTATTTATTTATTAATTTCCTGTACCGCCCTTCATCCAAGGACCATAGGGCAGTTTACAATATCAAAATGTGAAAATGCATAACATAGTAACAAGCAAAAACACCACCACCCCAGTTTTAAAGGCCATAGATGGTTTATTTAGCCAACATTTAAATTCAATATTGACATGAACAAGTTAAGCATGTTAAAATGTAATGGGGTGAATTCTGCTTAAGAAGCAGCTGTTACACATATGCACAAGACTGGCCTTAATCTGCACAGACATGTACTAATCTATATTCTCCAGATCCATTAAAACTGGTCTTTCACACCCATAAAGCCAGCTTCAACTGGATTACCCGGTGTCCTGTTTTGAGATGGGTGGGGCTCAGGTATATCAGGAACTCTTATATCAGAAACTAGCTATAGTCTTTTCAGCTACTATTAACACAAGATGAACTGGATCAGAAACATAAATTTCCAAGGTACTTTTTAAGCTTAAGAGTTAGGGTTTTTGTTTTTACTTCTTTGCCAGTGTCTCAGAGGTTGTCAGTGATGTGCATCAGGAAAGACAGCTGGATGAAATGTGTGAAGCAGTAAATGTTCAGGAGGGCCAAAGGGAACCACAAAAATGAGGAAAGGCAAGCAGAAGGAGAAACAATGATGACAGGAATTTGAGAGAAGCCGGAAGAAGTTTCATTATAAGATTAGGGGAAATTATGGCAAGTTTGAGGACAGAGTAACATTCTTGGGAGAAGCAGATGGACTATGGGCAAATACCTGGGAATTGTAGTTTCAGAGATACAATTCCCAGCACTCTTAACAAACCAGAGTTCCCTGGATTCTTGGGGAGAAGTCACGTGCTTTAAGCATGCATTGGGGGTACTTTAAATGTATGATGTAGATTTGCTCTAAGAACGTTAAATATCTGTTCACCTAAATTTTAGTTTAAGCCATGTTTTTCCACAGAACCAAAGATCATCTGTTTTTAAAAACCATGGCCTCTACTGAATTGTTTAAAATTTGTGTATCTCAAAATGAATGCATTGGGAAGAAATTACAAATGTTTCATGACACTTTCCCAAGCCAAGAGTTCTTAGTTGGATGATTAGGTCTACTCATACAACCTTTGAAACTGGCAAGAGAACTTCATTAATGGTCTCTATGGTTTTACATATGCTCTGGTAATCTTTAGAAGTCAAGCCTTTATAGATTTCCACTTCTCAGATGCCAACCATCAAGAGCAGAAGGACAACATAAAAACATCAACAAAACCAACCTTATGGAACAAGCATAACTGATATCTCTACAATATCTGAAATTTTGTTCCAGTCTTTTACCCTTCAATCATAATCTCATGTTCAGATTGCTAAAGACTAAAAAGTGGGAGGGGGGAATTAATAAAGTATTAGGCAATGCACGCATTGCAAAATAGAAAAAAATATATTGCGATGTACCATTTCACAAGCAAAACATAGACTACCATCTTTCTTTACAAGACTGTAAACCTTAAAAAAAAAAGACATATACTGTACCAGAAAAAATGTCCTGGATAAACTAACATTATCTATAATAATTTTTAAATGGTAGTTTAAAGCAGAGCAGAAGGTGAGAGAATATTAAAAATGAATGAATATAGAAATGTCACTTACTGTTATTTGCTGATTCAGGATATTCAACATTTTGGCCATTCCACCCCTTGATGTCACCTGGCTGACAAAGATAAACAAGAACAAAAATGACTTCATGATATAAAGCATAAATACTGTGAAATAACATTTCAGTATACATAGAAATTTGTCAGCAGGTATAGGATGTTTAGAAAGTTCTGCTGCACTGTTTTATCGATAAGAAAATCAGTAGAGTCCTGCTGGATTAAACCAAATATCCATCTTGTGCAGCACCCTATTTTCCACAATGGCCAACAGATGTCTCTGAGAAGCCCACAAATACAACATGAAACTGTCTCCTGTTTTTGCCATCCAGCAACAGGATGTTGTTAGCATCCATCTGTCTCAAGAGACAATAGGATACGCCTCCGGGTCTGAAGTCAAACCTCTGCATTAGCACAGAAGTGACCTCCCTGGGGCACAAGC